CCCCAGCCATGTTCATACCAACATGACCCACATGCATATGGCTTGGCAAGTTATTGCATGATAGGTTCAATTGATCAGTACTACTCCCCATAGTGATGTGATCAGGAAGTTCATTTCTTGTGCGTTTCGACAAGCTGTCTTGAACCCTGTGGGTGGTTGTGGATGGATTCTCAGATGCAAGTGAGTTTGGTGAAGGTAAATGATCATCAATTGATCTGTTCGCACTTTGATCACCCCTCTGTGAAGTTTTTTGCGCTTGCCGTGTTTCGAGCGTGTGTATTTCTTCCACCATTGGTTTCCAGAGCCTTACTCTTGCATTAATAAACCAATTTGAAACCTGATTCACAACATCAAAATTGATTGAACATGTGTTTCAAAAACTATAAATGGTGATATGATTATAGAGGATTGATGTCACACACCTGGCTCCGTGATAGACCAGTTTGTTTAGCCAACATTAGTTTATCCGAATCAGTAGGGTAACTGCAACATAAAAGCAGCGAAGAGAAACACCAATACATCAGACTATAAACACATGAGGATTTGGGGTATCAAGCTTCATATTAATCCATTGAAGAAGAGTACAACAAGCTGACCAGGCACTAAGTAATTACTTACGGATGCAGGAAGTGTTCAAATAACCAGGCCCTAAGAACAGTAACGGCACGCTCAGGAAGACCCCGTTGAGGTCTCCAAACAGGTTGGTGCTCGACAAAGTCGGAGTTGTGAATGGATCTTTGATTATAGAATCCTCTAGTGTTGCGAAGCATTTGACTTTCATCTTTTCCATGGCTTAACTGAGTAGCATCCCTATTTCTGAACTGAAGTTGGTCAGTTATGGCATTCTTCAAACACTTGAAGTGTCGAGTCATGGCCTTTATTGCTAAGTTTGCATAGGGAGCTGCATTTCCAAGCCCAGCAACATACTCAAATGATGTTACCACTGCCTGCATCTGTTGATAGTATTGCTTGTACCTTCTGTAAACCTAATGGACAACAAAAATACACTTAATTAACTAGCACTCTTAAATAACCTTTTGTAAATAATATAGCTTTACCAAGAAAGAAACAATATAAATGCATGGAGATTGCTAAACTTGGAAGTCAAAGTTTACACTTTCATCTATTTAACATTGGGATGTCAGAAATAAGTAGAATTATTTAACAACAAATTCAATCAAATCCATGCCGCGATCATTGGATAACAAGTCCATCTTGAAGTACAAACCCAGCCAGAAATTTAAAAACACCTCAAGAGTACTGCAAGCCCCACCCCAATACAGTGAAAAATGAGTTTCTAGCATCCATGTAGCGTGTGTGAGTTTAGCATATTATCACACTTATCAATAGGAAAGAT